CTGTTGATGTGATGGGAAATATGTGGTTGAAAAAGAAGAAAAATTTATTGATGTGATAAAAAATATTATTTTTTTGAAAAATGTGTAATTAAAAATGAGTAGAAGAATAATAATGAGAAAAATAATGTCGCTCAAACATGGGCTAAATTAGCAAAAATATTTGTTAAATAACAAAATATGGGTTTACAGTAAGATTTAAGAATAAAAATTAAGTGGTAATTATATGAAATCATACTTTAAGTTTTTAAACTTCTAAAATCAGATTGGAAGTTTAATATTTCCAAATCAGATATTTTATTTTAATTAAAATCTTTATAAAATAAATATGATGCAATTAATCCATAATTCTCACCTCCTCCTTTCTCTCTCTGAATCTCGCCTCTCAACTCTCGACCCTCTCTCTCGCACCACCTCTCTCTCTCTCTCTCTCTCTCTCGACGGCATGGAAGGGCGTCTCCCCCACTGCGCTGCTGCTGCAACTCCTCTATCTCATCGCCGCCCCCATCTCTAATTACTCGACTTTCAGCAGAATTCCCTCCCCCCATCTCTCTCTCTCGGCAAAGCCTTTTGACGACGCCGGCACCATCGCCTTCTGACAACGCTGCGTGGTCTCCTACGGTCCTTCATTTCCCCACAGATTTTCCCTAGATCCCGACATCATTAACGTTGCGAGTCGCCGCGTTGTCGGAGGTGCGTGGCATCTGTTTATTAATTTCTCATCTCCTCTATTTCTCTCGATCTGTTTAGTATCGTGTTGATGGTTAAGGTGAAGATGGTGTTTGTGGAGGTGAGTGCTGTGATTAACGGTTCTAAGATTTTTTTTGTGGGTGTGGTGTTGTGGTAAGTTAATTGTTTTTTCATATTTTGGTGGTTTTGGGTTGTGGTGGTCGTACTGCAGGCAGTCGTACTGAGGTAACGACGGTGATGGTGGCACCGGAGGTGCTGGCGTTCGATTTGGTGTTGAATATGTCAATCAAATTTTGTAAATTTTGGGGGTTTTTTTTGTTGGTGGTGGCGACCCAGTCGTAGGGGACCTATTCGACTCGAGGGAGCAGTCTTGACTCGTATAAGCTATGGTGGTTGCTACTGTCACGGTGGTTATGAAGTGGTGAGGCTGTGTTGGCGACGTTAGTTATGGTGGTTGTGGTGAGTTGCTGGCTGTGGTGGTAACGGCGGAGTAAGGTTAGGGCATGTGAGACGGTGGTGGTGGTAACGGCAGAGTAGGGTTAGGGATGTATAGTCTATGTGACCAATGCTGTGACCTGAGCTATGTGCTGTGACCTATGCTGTGACTTGAGTCATGTGTTGTGACCTATGTTGCGACTATCAACAAAAACCCGAGCGTTTGAAAATAACATGGGATTATGAACAAAATCGTGACTTGTGTTGTGGCCATTTAAAAATAACATGGGACTATGAACAAAATCGTGAGCCATGTGCAATATATTCTGTGACTTGTGCTGTGACCATTTGAAAATAATCCGTGACTATTAACAAAAATGTAAGACATGAGTCTTATCGTGTTATCAATCATTATTAACAAAAAATCATGCGTTGTGACCTGTGACTTGTGACCTGGGCTGTGACTTGTGACTTAGGTTGTGACCATAAAAAAAAAACATGTCAACCATACAAAAAAATATAGCGGAGTTGTCGTCGGAATATTCGTCGGAGTTGGAACAATTGTCGGAATCGGAGCAGTCGTCGGAAAAAATTGACGCCAGAACGGTCGCGCAGAATCGGAGTCGTCGCCGGAACGATCGTCAGAAAGTTCGCCGAAGTAGGGCGGTAATCGGAACGATCGCCGGAGTGGTAGAGGTGGTGAAGGTGGAATGAGTTATTTATATTATATTAGAATTAAATATTTAATAATAAAGTAATTTAATAATTTATTATTTCATAAATAAAAATTTAAAAATTTTTAATAAAAAGCTGATTTTGGAAATTTCAAACTTGTTTTCTTATTTTTGAAATAGGCTAAACTTATTCTCTTGAATATGTAATCTTCCCAAAAATTAAAGCCGCATTATGTTTTCTCGTTTGAACATGGTCCAATTAATAACCACCCAATTAATTATTAAAAAAAATAGAAATAAGTTTATTTTTATTTTTTTGAAAAATGCAAAGTCCCAAATAAATTATAAAAAAAAAATTTAAAAAGTGCAAAACGAGTCCAAATAAATTATTCAAAAATTAAAAAAAAAAAATTTAAAATTTTTTTTACAAATAAGTCTCAAATAAATTATTAAAAATGATGATTTGCTTATTCAAAGATGTAATTAAAGGTGAAAATGTAAAAAATAAAAATAAAAATAGGGACATTTTTCACAATAGCAATGAAAGGTAGAAACATTACATGCTAATTACCCATTTAATAATTTATTTGAGATTTGTTTGTACTTTTTTAAAAAAAAATTTGGACTATAATTACAATTAGTTCTTTCTTTATCTTTTATTTAAAAAATGTGTATATTTGTTATTTCACAATTTTTAATTGAGAGAATAGATAAAAACGACGTTTTCTAAGAAAATAGATGAAATCGACGTTTTGCGACATTAATGTGAAAATTAGGTTGAAAATGACGAAAAATAAAAGAAGAAAACGTTTTCCACAGTATGCCCCTGTTTGGTACACATTAAAATTTCATTTTCATTCTTCTACTTATTTTCAACTACACATTTTTCAATAAAATACTATTTTCTATCACATCAAGAACATTTCTTTTTTTTTTTCAACCACACATTTTCCATCAATCTATTATTTCAGAATACATTCTTCCAAAATAACGCGGCTCAAACACACGCAATGTTACTTGCTAATTACCCTCGTAGTAATTCAAGTCTTAATCAACTACTTTTTTCACTTCGCCTTTCTAATCTTCATCGTTCTCTCTATAATTCACCTTCTGAGTGTTGAAAATTTACTTAATCATGCACTGCGGAAATAAAATAATTTTCAATTCCCACCAAGGATCTGCAATGTGTTTAGATAGAAACTGTGATGAGAATAATATCTTTGATGAATTCTACAAACTCTTTTGCTGATTTTCGAACTCCAATGATCACGATCTGCAATCCAAAATATCCAATTGTCTAGCCTCCAATGGTGATCCACACAGAGAATAAGAATGACGACTAGGGTTTACTTTTCTTGTGCTAGCAAGAATAATGAAAATCACTACTATTTACAAATCCTAGTAGTCTATTAATATAAGCCCAAGTGGGCTGGCCCATCTCTAAACTTTACCCGATCCAATATTGAACTAATCAAATGAATTAAATCCGGTCACTGAATTAATTAATCCAATTAATTAATTCGAGCCTATTAATAAGCAATCCAATTAATTTATTATTCAACACTTGTCAATTAATTAATTGTGTATGACACATTAGGTTCCCGATCACGATACCTAACGGCGTGAATTATTATTTTGATCTAATCAAAATCGATAAATTAAAACACCCCTTTTAATTTATCACTAATTCATATTCGTTGTCCCAAATTGATATCTAGTAATGTGTTGGGCAATACATGTGATGAAAAATGTCACGTGATGTGACAAACCAAACTTGTTCGTTTACCGTGAAATTATAATTCTTTCGTCAATATAATCCAATCAATAATGAAATATGGATATGTGTCAATCTCAATTATCGATTATATCTTTTATCCCAGTGTTAAGTCAATGTAAGTCGAAAACTCCTTTTCGACTTATGAGTTCACCTTGGTCAAAAATTTCATTATTAATTTAATTGGATAAAATGTAGATCATAATCTCTTACTACTAAGAGTGACGAATCCTCTATTGATCATTCACAATCTTCATATGATTCTGACATACCTGAACGATGTTGTATTAGCTACTTTTGGTAGAGCAACATCCAACACTATCAAAGTATGACTGTCCTCATATAAGGTACTATGATGACCTCAAGTCAAAAAACCAATTCCACTACTGAACGTTAGAAATTAACCACTAACGCTCAGATAGTTATCCACGTGGAATCTCCCATCGAGTCTCTAATATTTTGTTCTATAACAAAACATCCGCGTGTTCATTCAAGTGTCACCACACTTTAGATTGTGAGAGCAGCTACTTATTTCACAAGTAAGAATGCCACACACGATGATCTATCCGTAATAACGATATCCGTATCTTGTTATTATTTCGACCACGGACGATTTAAGATTCGATCATATATAATTTGTATCTGACAATCACAATTCCTTATGATTAACCAGTGTTCTAAAATGCGCGCAACGCGTCGAATTCGGGAATGCGCGGGAAAATGCGTTTTCCATCTAAAGGAGGTGCAATGCGCGTGCCTAGGCGCCCATTATGGCGTCCAATTTTTTTTTTTTTTGGTTGTAAAAAATCTATTTTTTATATAAAAATATATTTAATACCTTAAAAATACGAAACACATTATGACGTTTATTTTTCGTATTGACAGGCCTAAACTTGTGATTTTTCATTCTCGACCTCGATGCATCGCAACGCATTACGCATTTTAGAACACCGTGATTAACAAATCACAAAGACTTGAAGCTACAGATTCTATTATTTAATTTATTAGAATATTAATTTAATTAAATAATA